AAGAAAGCGCACTGCCGCGTGTGCTCGTATTTGTCGGCGTCAATGGGCGTTTGTTCGTCCCTTTTGTTCCAACTTTACTTTTTCAAATACGAAAACAGTTGAAAGTGAAAGAAAGAAGGAAACTGAACAAACGACTAAAAAACAGTTGACTTACTTTGCTGTAAAAACTTGTCGTTCTGGATACAGGAATAGTTTCCATTGAGGAAGTCGCCGTTCAATCACAATTTAAAATTGTGAGCCATGACCATGACACTGACTTGGAATCGAATAACGTGCGAGGGAGGTTGTACCGGGTGTAACTGTGAATGCGCAGCAGTGTTGCGGGTTTGCGTACCCAATTCGGCCGTAAGGCGCCATGGCCCCTGCAGCCCTGGTGGGTATGCATTACCGCAACACTGCTGCGCAGTCACAGTTACACCCGGTACATGTACGACTCGTTTTGTAAATGGCTAATTACAAAATATAAACCGTACATATGTAAAAACAAATTTTTTCAGTGTTATCAAAGAAAACATCCGTGGTGCAGAGTACCCCCGCAATTCGCTCATCATCGTAAACGGCGGTACAACAACGACATCGCCAACAGTGTACCCGTGGCTTGCGTGGCTGTCGGCCGGACCGGACGCGTGGGGTTCGCTTGCTATTTGCGCGCAAAACGGCCTGCTGCCCGTGCTATTCACCGCACAGGGGGCCGGGGCGGCGCATTGCTGTGCCTGTAGTAGGCCGGCTGATGGCCCACCAGTCACTCCCAGACGGCCCCGCCAGCCCCGCCCCGCTCAACGCCGACAAGGCTTTCTTCGTGTCAATGGGCCGCCGCAGGCCGCGTGCTGCGCTGATTTATACCTGCAGCGCGGCCTGCCGGGGCAATGGGCGCACGGCCGGAGAGAGAGAGAGACAGAGACAGAGGGGAAGAGAGAGAGAGAGAGAGAGAGAGAGAGAGAGAGAGAGAGAGAGAGAGAGAGCGAGAGCACTTTTATTCCAATACTGTGACGTCACATTCTTTATACTGTGCGTTGTGTCACATTATTTAAAATATGTCACAGTCATCGTTATAACGTGACACAGTTACGCCTACTACTTTGCACTGAGCTGGTAAGGGCAGAGCGATGGGGGTATGTCGCATTCTTCGGAATGTGACCTATGGTGTTCTAAATAATGTGACACAACGCGCAGTATAGAAGGTGTCACAGTATTTGAGTAACAGAGAGAGAGAGAGAGATTGAAATAATTTTTATTGTTTAAGATTACAAACAAAAGGGCTAAAAACCCCACTGCAGTAAGCAGTCTGCTCTCTTCACTTACAAACTTGTTAAAGAGAGAGCGAGAGCGCGGGCAGACTGCAGCAAAGGTAGGTACCGGGGAGAGAGACGGGTCCGATCTGTCACGCTTACCACCCCACCACCCCCAAGGCTCCTGCCCCGCTGCGCCGCTGCCCCGCAGCCCCGCACCGCGCGGTTTGCTGCAGCGTTTCATTCCCGAGAAAAAGGTGGGCGTCAATACGACCTCTCTCTCTCTCTCTCTCTCTCTCTCTCTCTCTCTCTCTCTCTGCTGCGCCCTGGCCTTGCCATCGCCTGGCGGGCGCCCCCCGCGCCCTGGTTGGCATGGCGATCCGTCATACTACGCGTCAGTCCCGGCCCTGGCCCCCGGGCGCGCCGCTGCCGGTCCACGCGCCCAGCGCGCCGCCAAACTGATCAAACTCCCGTGATAAATCTTTTTTTTTTCCTAGGCATTAATTAAACGCAGGGCCTCTTGCTCCTGCCTCAAGCCTCGCCCCTGGGGAAAAACATGGCCGGACGAAGGGGTTTCCATCTTAGGAAAGCAGGGACCTCTTACACCTTCCTCCGCTACGCCGGCGTGCCATTGCATCCCCACCCCCTCGCCTGTGCTTCTCTTGCCTCGATTTTTTAACCCCTCACTCTGGCGGCCGTAAATTTAATTGTAAAACCTTCCGCGCTGCCCGTTTGGCCTTGCACCAAATGCACCGCCGCGCCGGGCGACAGCCACCGCGGTGTGAGGAAGACAAAACGCTTCCATCTCACCGCTGATAAAACACATGAAAATGTTCCCCATTCGACCCACACCTCCCTCTGCTCCTCCCAGTTTTGTGTGTGCGGCAGCCGAATTCAGTGCATATTGTCCGTCTTGTATTCCTTTACCCCCCCCCCCTCCCCTCCTCCGCGCTCGCGCCTTTGCGGCGGCGTGGCATGCCTTTCCCCCCGCCGCGCGCCCGCCCGGACTTTCTAGCAGCCCAATGAATTATTCAGGTCGACATGACAGGAGAAAGGCCCTCTCCTCGTACCTCCTTCACCCCCTGGCCCCGTGCATCCTCCACACCTCTCTCCTCCATCGCGAGAGTGGGTTTTAGGAGCGGCGGCCGGTACGGCGCCCGCTTGTGGTGCTTCAGCTGGACGGCGTGTCGTGTACACATTTTTGCACCGCTTATCATCCGGAGTCGAATGCGCGCCGGTGGTGGTGGGGGGGGGGGGACTCGCAGAAGAAGAGAACGAGGTCAACAGCAGCGGGAGCAAGGGTGCGGGTGGTGTCACGGGCTGACGGCGTCGAGTTGACGCCCGCCCGTCGATTCGGACTTTTATTCGACGTCGATGTGACGTCGCGCCGCTGCCTTCGCCGTCCTCTCGTCGGATTCAAATTGTATTCCCTTGACTTGGCGACAGCGGCGTCACATGACGCCCCCGGCCCGCCTGGCGCGCACCCGTTGTTCTGTCCGTAATCCGATATTATCCCCCCCCCCCGGTCTTTATTTAGCTGTGCGCTGTTTATTGCCAGCCCCTCAATCAGGGCGCGCATTGTCGGCGGGTTCAAATACCCGCCACCCAGAAGGACCCGTTTGGATTTTCATTTCTGCGCCCGACATTTCAATAATAAAGAGGAAGGCGGTGTGTGCGGCGGAAGATAGAGAAGAGGAGCTGTGCCCCGCGTCAACGAAGGAGCGCTGAGAGGGGAAAAAAAGAAAAAAAAACACACACACAAACAAAAAAGAAAACACAGAAAACGTAGAAAATGAAAATGAGAAAAATGCGTGAGGGCGACGAGATTTAACGCATAGTTTTCCGCGCCTTGAGTGCCGCATGAGCCCTCCCTGGAGCTGCTGCGCTTTATTATGTTTTCCAAGTTCATAACTCACTCAACGGAAAGTGTCGCGTTCCTCTCTCTCTCTCTCTCTACATTTGAATTTTTTCTCACTCACTCTCTCTTTCGCTTACTCGCTCTCGCTCGCTCTCACAAATACGCAGGGCTTATTATTATACCCCGCGAGGGCTTGGCTGGCGCCGGCAGCTGGAGGAGTGGCGAGTGGCAGCCAAGTATAGTGTCGAGGACAGAGCCGAGTGGCGATGCGCCGGACGGGGGCCGGGCCGGGCTGTACAGCTGTGCGCGGGCATATTGGATTCTCAGAGCTCTCGGCCGCGCCACGCCCCGCCATGCTCCGCCACGCCCCGCCACGCCCCGCCACGCC